ATAAATTTATAATATAAAGGTAAAATTCATATGTCTGACATTCAATCAGAAAATAGGAGACCTGAAAGGTATCAAGAAAATACAACCTATACTAAGGAGAAACACTGATTAATTGAAACTGATGTAGAGGTGATACAGATATTAGAATTTATGTCCTTTTATGTCCTTGAAGGACATAAAAAGTTATTAAACCTGTATTCCAGATATTCACACACTTAAAATGAGACATGGAAGACATATATATATATATATATATATAGGATCCAAAGGCAACTTTCAGAAATAAAAACTGCAGCATCTGAGCTGTAAGGTACACTGGACGATATAACTGGCAGAAGAAACAGTAAAGAAAAATAGATTAGTGAACTTTGAGAAAGAGCTTGAAAACTATCAAAAATTGAAACATAACAAGAAAAGAAAATAGTAATTTAAAAAACTGAAGAGACTATCAGTGAACTAGGTAACAATTCCATGGCCTCATATGTGTTAATTGTTTCATATAAAAGGACAAAATATATATGACAGAAATTTCTCACTGGAAACAGTACAAGAAAGACGACAGTGGAATAACCTCTTTAAGGTACTAAAAGGAAAACAAAAACCCACCAACGTAGAATCCTCTATCCAGCTAAATAAGTAAAAACAACCCACGGACATAAATGAAACAAAACCCCCAAGCTATCAAAAACAAAGGTGAAACGAATTTTTTGAACACACAACAGTGAAAGAATTCATCACCAGCAGAACTGCACTACAGGAAACAGTAAAGCAAATCCTTCATGGGGGAGGAAAATGATATCAGATGAAAACCTGGATTTACACAAAGAAATGAACAGCACCAGAAATGGCAACTACGTGAGTAAATAAATACATTTTTAAATTAATTAAATCTTTTAAAAAGATAATCGACTACTTTAAAAATTACATTAATATAGTGTGGGGTTTAAAATATTGTAAAATAAAATGGATGAAAACAGCAAAAAAGATTGGGAGGAAATTAATGGGAGTATATTATCCTGAGGTTCTCTTACTGTATGTGAAGTGGTATAGCATTACTTGAAGGAAGATGGTGACGTATAATTTAAACACTGTTGTTATTTAGTTCCTCAGTCCTGCCCAATTCTTTTGCGATTCCATGGACTGTAGCCCCCGACTCCTCTGTCCATGGGATTTCCCACTACCAGGCTTCTTTGTCCATGGGAATTTCCAGGCAAGAATACTGGAGTGGGTTGCCATTTCCTTCTCCAGGGGATCTTCCCAACCCAGGAATTGAACCCGTGTCTTCTGCTTTGCAGGCAGATTCTTTACTACTGAGTCATCGGGGAAGCCCTGTTATAAACGCTAAGTGCTTAGTCACTCAGTCCTGTCTGACTCTGCGGCCCCATGGACTGTAGGCCTCCAGGCTCCTCTGTCCATGGGGTTCTCCGGGCAAGAACCCTGGAGTGGGTTACCAAGTCCTCCTCCAGGATAAACACTATAGCGACCACTAAAATAAAATAGTTATAGCTAATAAGCTAGCAATAGAGATAAAATGGAATCATAAAAACATTCAATCAACCCAAAAGAATGCAGAAAAACGGGAAAAAAGAAACAAAGAACAGAAGAACATATAAAAAACAAATAGCAAGATGATAGATTTCAACCCAACCATATCCATAACATATTGTATGGAAATAGTCTAAAGAGCTCAATAAAAGGCTGAGATTGTTTGCATTAAAAAAGCAAGAGCCAATGTTAAGGTGACTACAGGAAACACATTTTAATATACACAAATATGTTAAAAGCGATAGGATGGGAAGTTATATACCATGCTAAAACACTAATCAAAACTGGAGTGCTATATTAATATTAGACAAAGCATATTCCACAGTAAATAATATTACCAGGGATAATGAATGTAACTTCACAATGATAAAAATATCAATTAATCAAGCTGACATAATAATCCTAAGTGTTTATGGATTACAGGCTTCAAAATGCATGAAGCAAAACCTCGCAAAGGACAAGAAGAAATCGACAAATCCACAATTAAGTCAGATTTTGATTCCGATTGTTGTTAGGAAGTCAGAAATCAGTAAGAATACAGAAGATTCAAACAACACTATCAAACTAATTGACATTTATGGAGAATTCCCACCAAACAACGTTTTTTTCAAGTGTACATGAAACAATTACCAAGATAGATCACTGAATCCTTATTAGGTCTGTTCTAGCATTATTTCCTTTTACAGCTGAATCAACGAAGGCATGAAGAGGTAGGGAACTTCTGAAGATACACTGTAATTAAGGGTCACAGCTGGGCATTGCACTCAGATTATCTGACCCAGAAGTCTTAATCAGCAAGCTCTACCACCTCCCTTGAACACCTGGAACAGCTCAGGTCTCAGTGAAGTCTCTAGGACTTAGGATGCAATCCCTTTAAGTTAAACAAAGGAGTAGTTTACTCAAATAGCATTTTCTAAATACTACTTAGAGAGGAAATACTTTCCCCCTTTCTTCTCATATTCTCATTCAGCCCAAATGGCTAGGCTGCTTCCTTTAAATGACATGACTTACAGGTAACATAAACTCAGGTTCCAGAGTCGCTGGGCCTGAAAGGGAAGACAGTTGCAGATTAAAGTCTAAGAGGCTCAGGGGAGCTGGCTCTTCCTGAGGCTGCCTCTGTGTTGGATGGGTGGTCTAACACACATTCCAACTGGATCAAGATGCCTGCTGGCCCCTCTTTACATGCCAGGATCCGGACAGCAGCTCCTTTGGCAGGATGTGAATACATTTTTATTAAAAAGAGGCAAAGAACCCTCAGCTTATGGTTGACTTTCTTTGTCCACCTTGTTATCTCTATTACTGGTACCAAAGTGTATGTAATAATGACAAGACGGAAAAACGCTGTACTGTTTTTCGGGCGAGGTTTCCTCACTTATCAGCAACAAAATGCCACAGAGGGGAACACCTTTGTAATGGGTCTTTGGCTGAGGCTGGGCACACGGGTGTTCTATGGGAGGAAATATGAAATGAGGATATTACTCCGCCTGACTAAGCTGAGGGGAGGATTTATGTTGCTCGGCAAGCATGCATCTGGACAGGGAAATTTAACAAAAAATCAATTTTCTCCTTCAGACGGTCTCTCCCCGCGCCCCCCCCCCCCCCTTCCTTTGCCGCTCTCCCTCTCCTCCGGCGCACTGAGCCTCCATCCTTTCTCCATCCTCCATCCTTTCTCCATCCTCCATCCTTTCTCCATCCTCCATCCTTTCTCCATCCTCCATCCTTTCCTCCATCCTCCATCCTTTCCTCCATCCTCCATCCTTTCTCCATCCTCCATCCTTTCCTCCATCCTCCATCCTTTCCTCCATCCTCCATCCTTTCTCCATCCTCCATCCTTTCCTCCATCCTCCATCCTTTCTCCATCCTCCATCCTTTACTCCATCCTCCATCCTTTCTCCATCCTCCATCCTTTCCTCCATCCTCCATCCTTTCCTCCATCCTCCATCCTTTCTCCATCCTCCATCCTTTCCTCCATCCTCCATCCTTTCCTCCATCCTCCATCCTTTCCTCCATCCTCCATCCTCCATCCTTTCTCCATCCTCCATCCTTTCTCCATCCTCCATCCTTTCCTCCATCCTCCATCCATCCTCCATCCTCCATCCTCCATCCTTTCTCCATCCTCCATCCTTTCCTCCATCCTCCATCCTTTCTCCATCCTCCATCCTTTCTCCATCCTCCATCCTTTCCTCCATCCTCCATCCTTTCTCCATCCTCCATCCTTTCCTCCATCCTCCATCCTTTCTCCATCCTCCATCCTCCATCCTTTCCTCCATCCTCCATCCTTTCTCCATCCTCCATCCTTTCTCCATCCTCCATCCTTTCCTCCATCCTCTCCTCCATCCTCCATCCTTTCTCCATCCTCCATCCTGTACTCACTCCCATCTGCTTTGATCCTACCATCTCTCCCCACTTACGCTCAGTGACTACCCAGGCCCCGCTGTCCCTCTCTCGTTTCCCTCAACAACCCTTTTCCCTGTCCGCCCGTTTCTGGCCCGTCCAGCTCTCTCCTCCCTCCCTCCCCACCAAAGCCCCACCGTCCCCGGGATCAGAGTGATAAAGTGGCTGCAGCCCAGCCGGGAGGACCTTTCCAGCTCCCCCTCCCGGCTGGGTTGAGGGCTGAGGACCGGAAGCTGGGCTGCGCAAGGGGGGTGGTCTTGGCTTCTTGGGGGCGGCGGGGCGGCGGGGGGTGGGTATTATGAACGAGGTGTCCGAAGCAGCGTTTTGCATCGCAGGACAAAAAAAAAAAAAAAAGGCAATCCCCTTTGTGCACTGGGATAGCGCAGTGTCCCTCGGTTCGGGACTTCGCCACACATTCTTGCAAGCCATTGTTTACCCGGACTTTTGGGGGGAGGCGCCGCGCGGGTGGGCGCGGAGGGGACCCCGGGAGCGCTTCCCCGGTACTCAATTGACCCGGGACTCGGTGGGGAGAAGTTGCCCCCAGGAGGCGGGGCCCGGAAGCCAATCAGGAGGCCCTCGACCAATCAGGAGGCGAGGCCGAGCCCGTCTTCCCCTCCCCGGCCCGCTCGCGGGCGGGCGGCGCGCAGTGGAAAGTTGGGAGCCGCGGCGGCTGATCCGGGCGGAGAGCTGCAGCGGCGGCGGCGAGGGCAGCGGACTCGGCGCGGCGCCGCTGGCTCGGAGCGGTCCCCGGGGCATGGGCCGGGCGCGCCGCCCGCACTCAGCCACACGCCGCCCCGGCCGCGGGCACTCGGCCGTCCAGAAGGAGGCTGCGTTCGGAGGAAGGCTGCCGCATCTTTGCCTGCCCGGCCCCGTGCAGGGATTTCGGGTTCGGTGCTCGTCCCCATCTGATTCTTAGCCCCCAACTTTTTGCAAGTTCAAAGAGGTTTCTGAAGTCGAATAAATTGCCCCGAGAGGAAACCCACTGCCTGTTGAGGAGGGCTTAGCAGAGTGCTTAGGCGCTCCAGGAAAAAAAGAAAAAAGGAAAAAAAGGAAAAGACAAAATGATTTCCTGGGACATGGTCCACACCATATTCCTGCTCGCTCTTCTTTATCCTTCCCGAGCGCAGGATGCAATCCCCCAGTCCGAGGTCGAGGCAGAAGAAATTCCCGAGGGGGCCTCCACATTGGCATTTGTGTTTGATGTGACTGGTTCCATGTATGATGATCTAGTTCAGGTGATCGAGGGGGCTTCCAAAATTTTGGAGACGTCTTTGAAAAGACCTAAGAGGCCTCTTTTCAACTTTGCTTTGGTGCCTTTCCACGATCCAGGTAAGGGAAATACTTGTTCTTTGTTATTCCATATGATTACGTTGTTTCTTATGCTACGAAATTGCGTGTCAGTAAGTTTCAGAACCATTTTTAAATGTGTAGCTGAATACTGTTGTAACAAAGAATTGCTCGCTTACATCTGGGTTTGCTCTCTTATACCTGCTCAAGTCTCAGCCTTGGAGATGGCTTGTTTGGGGTGCTTGCACAGTGGTACCCAAACCTGGAAAGTGTGGAATTAATGAAAACCAGAGCAATGATATCAAAATCAGTTAACTTAAAAATTTTGAAACTAAATGTTTAAGGCAGAGCGGTACATTGGGTATTCAGCAGCAGTGCTATAACAGCTAACACACAACTTGAGAGCATTCTCAAAATAACTCTCAAGGGGAGAAAAACCTGTTGTGTGAGACACAGGGAAGCTTGTAAGCAATAATTACTAGTAAACTGAAGAGATGAAAAGAAGCCATTCATTTGTTAATTGAATCTACTGATCTTCGCACCAGATCATCATTAGTTCGGCTCACAGATGGTAATAAATGTGTCCTCCTCTCATCCAGTAGAAATGCATGTAATTTGGTATGGCGGTGCTCTTTAAAGGTAGTTGAAGTACAGTCACTTTATTTTTTTGCCTTAAAGCCATGGGTTTCAGCTGCTGCGCGGTAATTTGATCCTCTTTACTTTTTTCAGTTTCTCTTTTAAAGTGGCACCTTTCTGTGAGGCTCATAGGAGCTCTCATTGTCAATGTGAGGGCAGCATTGCCTGGGGAGCCCTGGGGCTGGCTGTCTAGCATCCACCTGAGTTTCATTAGCACAACTCACTGCCCAGTCGAAGAAATAAAGCAGTGGTTTCTTGAAGTTCTCCCCCACTGTTCTCTCACATTTTTATTGAAATTCTCTTTTCACTAGAAGACTTTGACACAGTCACTTCACAATGAAAACTTGATATTGAAAATCTCAAATTCTTTCCTTGTGCTTTTGACAAGCATATGATAGTTCAATTTATTGCTTGGTTTTAAATGTGGCAGGTTTCAGCTTTTAAAGAATTGGCGGGGGGAGGAGTTTAGAGGAGTTGAGAGGGATTTTTGTTTGTTCTTCAAATGATGAAAATAATAACCTGTCCTGTTCTGTGCTATGCATATAACCTTAGTAATGTCTATGTTATTAAAAATAAAATTTTTAACATTTGAATAAAGAATGATCATTTACTGTGTTAGCTGTCTCAGTGAGACACCTCATGTGTTACAATGTTTTAATTTATTAAATGTCAAGATACCAATTGTGATGCAGACCAAGACTTGGTTAGCTTGGAATAGGCTAAATATGTTTCTTCTATAGGAGTGAATCTAAGATTGGTAAAAATGTAAAGTAAAAATTCTTTTCTGTGACAACATAGTTTGCTTTCCTCCAAAAAGCTTTTATGAAATGATGTTGCTGTAAACAGAACTCAAAAAATTGCCTCAGAACTCAAAAAATTGCCTCATCATAAATGGAAACTAGATCATCATGATATTTATTTTGATATGATATGAACAAAATTATTGGAATAAATTGTATTGTGGTGTGTTCCCTTCCAGTTGTTACCAAATAGGAAAATTTATTGTAGTTGACTTTCCTTTATTTTGGCCATCATGATTCAAAGTAGGGGAAACTTAGTATGCTAATAAAAAATGACTAATAAATTAGTTACTTTGAATTAAATAATAAGAGAAAATAATTAACTTAAATTGGCTCCATAAAATTAATTGTATGTATAATTCAGCAAAAGCTGTTCTGGTTTCATTGTGATTCAAAGAAAAGTGTTTTTGAACTTAAAGATGAAAATAGAAAAAAAAAAGAATAGAAATTAAAACATACTAATAACCTTTAGTTTACTAACTCACAATAATGGATTGTAATATTATCTCTGCATGTCATTTTCTGTTTGTGTGTGTGTACAGTAATTAAGAATTTTTGATTCCCTTGTACTTTTGGTTGGCTATCAACTTGGAATCACCAGCGGACAGAAAGGGCCTTGAATGGAGATTTATTGGCTTACTGAGTGACGTTGGAAAAGTCTGTCTACATTTTTGTATCTGTTATCTCAGTTATAAAATGGCAGAATTGGATTTGAACATCTCTAAGGTCACTTCCAACAGTAACGTTTTACGACTATTTTACACATGGTAGTTTTTCACAGTCCCTGATACAACTGACAGCAAATAAATGATGTGTGTAATTTAATATAGTTATATTAATAACATAGCTTTTCAAAGTGCTGTGGTTGAATTTAGCTAGATGAAATAATGAATAAGATTTGGGATATAGTCTCAGGCATTTGACAGAGAACTTAAGGCCTTCACAGATGATTGCTTTGGACCTCTGCATAATAATGGGGGGCAAGCTGTGTGTTTTGAGGTGGGGGTAAAAATGAAAATACATGCTTGTGTAGGTGGCTCAGACAGTAAAGAATCTGCCTGCAATGCAGGCCACCCAAGTTCGGTCCCTGGGTTGGGAAGATCCTCTGGAGAAGGGAATGGCAACCCACTCCAGTATTCTTGCCTGGGAAATCCCATGAACTGAGAGGAGCCTGGTAGGCCACAGTCCATGGGGTTGCAAAGAGTCGGAATGACTGAGCGACTAACACTTTCACATAGACGTACGAGAGGAATAAGTCAACAAGTTGACAAGGCGGTAATAAAATCACTCAGAAAAATGTAGGAAGCTAGTGTTAGAGGAGTAACAGCATGTGCTCATGGTAACCCATTAGTAGGAGAAACCGTGGTAGGAGGAAGTAGCACAGAGCGCCAGGGTCATGGCAAGTCAAGACAGCTTTTTGATGCTACCTCTGCTTAAGATGGGTTTTCCACTTCCATGATCACATTTAATATATTAATTTTTAATAGCTTTGTTGACCTTACTATATAATCACTCACTTAAAACATATAATTCTGTGATTTATAGTATATTCAGAGATTGTTACTGTTGTTCAGTCACTAGGTTATGTCCAACTCTTTATGACCTCATGAACTTAAGCATGCCAGGCTTTCCTGTCCTTCACTATCTCCCAGAGTTTGCTCAAATTTATGTCCATTGATTTAGTGATGCTATCTAACCATCTCATCCTCTAGTGCCCCCTTCTCCTTTTGCCTTCAATGTTTCCCAGCATCAGGGTGTTTTCCAATGAGTTGCCTCTTTGCATCAAGTGGCCAACATGAAGCTTGAGCTTCAAAATACGTCCTTCCGATGAATATTCAGGGTTGATTTCCTTTAGGATTGACTGGTTTGAAGTTCTTGTAGTGCAAGGAAATCTCAGGAGTCTTCTCTAGCACCACAATTCAAAAGCATCAGTTCTTTTGTTCTCAACCTTCTTTCTGGTCCCAACTCTTACATCCATGACTACTGGAAAAACTGTAATTTTGACTCTATGGACCTTTGTTAGCAAAGTGATGTCTCTGCTCTTTAATATGCTGTCTAGGTTTGTCATAGCTTTCCTTCCAAGGATCAAGCGTCTTTAATTTCATGACTGCCCTCACTGTCAGCAGTGATATAGACATATGCAACCATACCTCAGTCAAGTTTGGAACATCTTCCTCACTTTAAAGAGACACCCTGTGCCTTTTTATTTATCTGTCCTCTCACCTCCACCCCCTCCCCATATTATCCTCCTCCCAGGCCTAAGCAGCTACTAATTTACTTTTTGTCTCTGTGAATTTTCCTATTCTAGACTTTCATATGAATGGAATCATATATTATCTTTTTTTGACTGACTTCTTTCACTTTAGCATAATGTTTTTAAGATTTATCCCCATCATAGCATATATCAGTAATTCATTTTTATGGCCAAATAATTATCCATTTTATAGATATACCATAGTTTGTTTATCTTTTAATCTATAATGGATATTTGAGTTGTTTCCACTTTTTGGCTAGTATGAATAATACTTCTGTAACTATTTGTGGGCAGTTTCCTGTGTGGACATAGGTGATACTGTGATTTGTAATATGAAATAAATATTTTATCTTTGTCACCTTTTCTAGCATGCAGCTCTTAAAACTCTTGAAATTTCCTAATTGATGAGAACCATAAAGGTATCTTCTGTCATGTTAATGAGGTGACTTTTGGACTTCACTGAAGAATGAGGGCTCATTGCCAGGAGACTCTTCCCTGTTAGAGGTTAGAACTCTCAGTCCCACCCCTAACCTCTGGAGAATGTTCCATGTGTACTTGAAAAGAATGTGTATTTTGCTGTTTGGGGATGGAATGTTCTATAATAGTCTGTTATGTCCATCTGGTCTAATGTGTCATTTAAGGCCAACTTTTTCTTACTGATATTCTATTTGGATGAGCTAGTTACTGATGCAAGTAGTATGTTCCAGTCCTCTATTGTTATCGTATCACTCTCAATTTGTCCCTTTATGTCTGTTAATGTTTTATATTTAGGTTTTTTTTTGTGTTGGGTGCATATTACAAGTATTATCCTTTTATTGAATTGTTCCCTGTATAATTGTGTAACATTCTTCTTTGTTTTAAAGCCTGTTTTGTCTGATATTCTTATTGCTACTCCAACAATTCATTTTGTTGTATGGAATATCTTTGTTTCATTCCTTCACTTTTAATCGATGTTTTTACAACTGAAGTGAGTCTTTTACTGGCAGTGTAGATACAGGCTATTAAAAAATCCATTCAGCCACCCGATGTCTTTTGATTGGAGCACTTAGTCAATTTACATTTAGAGTAATTAGTCATAGGTTGTACTTACTGCCATTTTGTTAGTTGTTTTCTGGTTTTTTTCTTAGTTGTCCTCTGTTCCTTCCTTCTCTTGTTCACTTCCCTTGTGATTTGATGACCTTTTTTTGTTTGTGTGTGTGTTTGTATTGTATTTTTTGTGTATCTAGTATCAGTTTTGCATTTGTGATTACCATGAGGTTTGTATGTAACAACCTATGTAAATATAACAAGCAGTTAGTCACTTAAGTTCAAGAACATTCTGAAAGCACTAATACCTGTCCATTCTCAACATT